CCGAAAACTCACAGCAACCCAGTGATTCCGGCCATGAATGCCTTCAACCACACTCTTTGAAAGATGTTGTAGCACAAGCTTTCATAGATTATAGAAAAAAGACATCCAGTATAGAAGACTTCAGAACTTTATTATGACACCCACTTCTTTCTCTCAGTCTTAAAGCTTTTGAAAATAGATGTGTATTATTAGAAACAGGTGCAGCACTACAATTCAGATAAGGTAAATATTTCTGGGAACAATGCAAAACAATCAATCCAACATATGAATAAGTGAGCAAACTGAAACACCCTGCGCAAGTCTAAAGGATCAAAGCCACCAGTATAATTTAAGTAATGTAATGCATGAGACATATCACAGTGAGTTCATCCAAAGTTTGATATGGCCCTTTGATACTCTATGGCAGTGTTTTTCAACCTTCCTAATGCTGCGACCCCTTAACGCAGTTCCTCCTTTGTGGTGACCCCCAACCATAACATTATTTTCCTTGCTACCTCATCACTGTCATTTTGCTACTGTTGCGGATCATAATGTAAATCTCTGATATGCAGGATGTATTTTCATTCACTGGACCAAATTTGGCAGAAATACCATATACACCCGGAATACTGGTGGGGTTGGGGTTGGATTGATTTTGCCATTTGGGAGTTGTAGTAGCTGGGATTTATAGTTCACTTACAATCAAAGAGCATTCTGAACCCCACTAACGATGTTGAACCAAACTTGGTACACAGAATTCCCATGACCTAGAGAAAATACTGAAAGGGTTTAGTGGGCATTGACCTTGAGTTTGGGAGTTGTAGTTCACCTACATCCAGAGAGCACCGTGGACTCAAACAATGATGGATCTGGACCAAACTCTACACAAATGCTCAATACACCCAAATGTGTACACTGATGGGGTTTGGAGAAAACAGAACTTGACATTTGGGAGTTATAGTTGCTGAGATTTATAGTTCACTTACAATCAAAGAGCATTCTGAACCCCACCAACAACAGAATTGAGCCAAACTTATAATGAGCCCTCTTCCGCAAACAGGGGCGGCTCAATCCATTATGCAAAGTAAACATTTGCAGTATAGTTGATTTTGCCCAGGGGCCTCCTGAGGTGCTCTTGGGGGAAAATAGACCTTGACATATGTGAGTTGTAGTTACTGGGATGTATAGTTCACCTACAATCAAAGAGCATTCTGAACTCCACCAATGATGGAATTGAACCAAATATGGCACACAGAACTCCCACGACGAACAGATAATATATATCAGTGATTGGTTGGGGGGTGGGGGGGGGGGCGCCAAAATACTGTTTGCTTACCGTTGAAAATTACCTAGGGCCGCCTCTGTCCGCAAGTAACCTGCTTCTCTTTTATCTCGCCCGAGTTTTTAATTAGTTTTTCTTTGAATCATTACATGTAGCCCGCCCATTGTCATTGTGTTTGTGCTTATTGTAATTTTATATTGTTATGTATTCACATGTTTTATGTAATTATGATGTTGTTTATTGTTTGCGTTTTCGGTTTGCGTTTCTGATTTTATTCTGTTGTAATTTGTTGTTTGGGCTTGGCCTCATGATAAGCTGCTCCGAGTCCCCATCGGGGAGATGGTGGAGAGGTATAATTAATAATAATAATAATAATAATTATTATTATTATTATTATTATTATTATTATTAAACTTCCCACACAGAACCCCCATGAACAACAGAAAATACTGTGTTCTCTGATGGTCTTTGGTGACCCCTCTGACACCCCCTTGCGACCCCTTTCGGGGTCCCAACCCCCAAGGTTGAGAAATGCTGCTCTACGGGAAGATCGTAATTAATTTGATTACAATAATAATAAATGGGTTTCAACTAAGTGCAGAGGTGTGTGATCCTTGAGGAATCTGAAGGTGCATCTATTCTACACTGTAGAATTAATGCAATTTGGTCCCACTTTATCTGCTATAGTTCAGTGCTATGGTGTTCTGAGGTTTGTAGTTTCGTAAAGCGCCGGCCGTCTTTGGCAGAGAAGGCTAAAGACTTTGTACAATTGCAAGTCCCATGATTCCATGGCATGGAGCTATGTTAGTTCAAGTGCTGTCAAACAGCATTAATTCTACCTGTAGATGCATCCTAAGTCGGCAGGCTAATTTCTCTGTGTTGAAAGTCTGAATGGGAACTTCCATTCCTCAGCTATTTGTAATCCAGCATTGTTCCAATTAGAATCATGCTAATCCATGACTCACCCAGGGCTATGCTCAGGGATATTATTCAAGAGGGATAGATAGGGCAGGGGGGCGGGATGGGGGGGGGGGGAATAGGAAACACCATCAAGCTTATAAGAAAAAAGCAACAAAATGCAATGTTAACAATAAATCACTGCATGCCCGTGGCCAGAGAAGAAAGGCACAAGGCACAGACACACCAGTAATATTTAGGTCATTTTGAAAAGTGTGGGGAGGGGGGGGGGGAAGCCTCTATACCTTGAGAGCCAAAAGTTACCGTGCATAGCAAGTTGGCGATGATGGTTTCTCTCTTCTTCCTCTGCTCCGTCGCCCTGTCAAGTCAAGCTAGAAGAACGTGGTTCTATTTCTGTCCTGCTAATCGCCAGCCTTGCCTTGCTGGGCCCAGTGTTTGGTACACAGCCTCCTTTAAGGCTCTAAGCTGCTTAATATTCCTGGAAGAAAAAGCAAGGGATGCCTCCAGGAGGGGCTTATCATCTAGAGGTGGGACCTCAAGGCTCCATTAAGACTTTAAGACATCTAATTGCAAAAGTTGCAAATAATTAAACTATTAGTTTTTTTAATAAACTTTCTGTCACATGCTAGATAATTGGATAGGGTTATAGTAATCTTCTCTGAAAATATATGTTCGTGGTTTTGGGGGTATGTCAGGATTCATCCCTGAGACTGGGAGCTCAAGTCTCAGAGGCAATTGTGTATTTATACCAGTGGTTCTCAACCTTCCACTCTATCTCTTTTTTCCATACCCCGGGCGCCCCGGACGCCTGCAGCTTGCTCCACCCTTCACTTACACCTTCCCGGTGAGGTGCCCCTTCACCCCACCATTGGGACCACATTAAGTCCATGAATCCTGATGAATGGATTTTCTTCAACCGTACTTGTACAGCGTCACCCTTAATGCTTTCATACAGTCACTGCATATGGCAGGGACACGGCCACTGCCATTTTTGAGCTCCCCCCACAATATGCAGCAACCACAGATTCTCCAATCCGGATTGGAAGTGTCAGCACCTGCTCTATAAGACGACTCCCGTTTATAAGACTACTCCCATGAATAAGACGACTTTTGAGAAGATTTTCTTGGGTTAAAAAGTAGTCTTATATATAGCTGGAGTTATACTTTAAAATGTACCTGTTCTGACTTACATACACATTCAAATTATGAGCAAATCTACCTAACTTATCGTGTTTGTAACTTGGGGACTGCCTGTATGACAATACTTTTTTTTTTTACTTGAAAGAACATATCTTTAGGAATTTCGACTTCCTCCAATGAAACTGTATGGTCAATTTCTGCTGGCAATTGATCACAGAATCATACAGGAGGACCTAAAAATACCTAGAAATGTATTCTCTCAAGGAATCTCTAGGTCTTCCAGCATCACTCTATGGTGAAAAATGATGATAGAGCCATGTTGGAGAACCCAGAGAGTCCTGGAGAGAACATACTAATCAAATCCGCAAAAGGGACATCCGCAAACTGGAGTAGACTGGAGTATTTTAATGCATTTTCATGTTTAATATGTCAAAATGTATAAATATTAATTGTTTTTAAAATAGTGTGTATTATTCTACTTTTAATTTAATCTATAAGTTCAGTGAAATTTTATGTGAAGTTTCTACTTAGTGACAACCTTCCCCACGCGACCTTGGCAGTTGCCAAGTTTCTTTCTGAGGCAGCCAACATTAGACATTTCCCAATTCTAGACACAGGCTGAAAGTCTTGTTTTACGTAGTTTAGAAGATCAAATTAGGTAGGTGATATCCCCCATTCTCCATACACTGAGTAAACCGATTTCTGGCGTTTGTCATGACTCTTGCCAGCATAGCAGGC